CATAGCTGCAGTAAAGTGAAAGAAAGAAAGAAAGAAAGAATAAGATAGAAAGAAAAAGAAAGAAAGAAAAAGTAAGAAAGAAAAAGAAAGAAAGAATGAAGAAAAATAAGATAGAAAGAAAAAAAAACAAGAAAAAGAAAGAAAGAAAAAATAAGAAAGAAATACGATGGAAAGAAAGAAAGAAAGAAAGAAAGAAAGAAAGAAAGAAAGAATAAGATAGAAAGAAAATGAATGCAAGAAAAAGAAAGAAAGAAAAAGAAAGAAAGAATAACGTAGAAAGAAAATGAAAGCAAGAAAAAGAAAGAAAAAAGAACGAAAAAGAAAGAAAGAAAGAATAAGATAGAAAGAAAAAGAAAGCAAGAAAAAGAAAGAAAGAAAAAGTAAGAAAGAAAGAAAGAAAGAAAGAAAGAAAAAATAAGATAGAAAGAAAAAGAAAACAAGAAAAAGAAAGAAAGAAAAAAAGAAAGAAAGAAAGAAAGAAAGAAAGAAAGAATAAGACAGAAAGAAAAAGAAAGCAAGAAAATGAAAGAAAGAAAAAAGAAGAAAGAAATACGGTAGAAAGAAAGAAAGAAAGAAAGAAAGAAAGAAAGAAAGCCGTGAAAATTTCACGGGTATGATTATTATTATTGTTATTATTGTATTTGTTGTTTTGATAAACTTTTTTCCATTAACCTTACTTTCCGCCGTCAACTTCTTACCAAATGGAAATTGCCTTAACAACAGTTTCCATTGGTAAACGTTGGTAAATGCAGGTTTTCTGCTCATCTGTATGGATTCCCTGCCTCTTTTCATCCCTTAAAATGTTCAAAACACTCGTCAGACTTCCTCCGTCTGACACCCTAAGCTATGATCTATCCTTCCACAATTATCATGTTTTTTGTTGTTTTTTTTATTTGTAATAATATTCTTCAATGTGAAACGTATTTTTTCAGCAAGTTGTTGGAATCGGTACCATCATATGATCTCAGGCGATTGACACTGAGAACAAAATCTATCGTCTTTGTCCAACGAAATACGCCGAACAAACTTTTACCCTTCTAATGTCGAGAGTCGACCTACCTGTAGGAAAAATGCCATCTACAAACTTTAACCAAAATAAAAGAAAAGAATAGCGTATAATTGCTACATGTCGTTTTACGTACTTAGAGATTGGAAACAGTTGGAAATAATTTTGCAATGTAAACTAGTTACATGTTCTTTAGCGACATATCAACCTATTATGGGTTATTTAATGCTGAAATGTAAATATTTTGCACGCAATTGCGTCCCTCCAACTGGAGATAATATGTATCGTCTGTAATTCTAATATAAAATGTATTGCTGGTCGTTTTGCTATAAAAATATATTTTTATACTTTCATAGTGTTCTTTATGTTTGGAGGTTCACTATTCGACAACAGCTGGGACCCTAGCATGTGATTACTACCCCGACTCATGGTGGGCCAGAAGACAACAGCAATAATGAGGTGTTTCCACGCTCCTCAAAGCCTCCGACCTCCCGATCGAAGAAGTTACTGCCAAATGTAGTTTATCGTCATACTGTCGATATAAATTTCTGCACACTCTACTAAAATATATGACAATTATTGCTATGTATTCCTGTCGTAAAGTAAATAATAACTGCAATGTATCTCTCAATGTATGAGGCTGGGCTGAAAAGTTCATAGACTGACTATGAAGGAGAGACGCTAAAGCTGTGAAATCTTATATGCCTTAATTTCCGCTCTTCTTAATAATTGCCTTGTTTCTTTCCATGTACAAGGCTGGGCTGAAAAGTTCATAGATTGACTATGAAGGAGAGACGCTAAAGCTGTGAAATCTTATATGCCTTAATTTCCGCTCTTCTTGATAATTGCCTTGTTTCTTTCCATGTACAAGGCTGGGCTGAAAATTTCATAGACTGACTATGAAGGAGAGACGCTAAAGCTGTGAAATCTTATATGCCTTAATTTCCGCTCTTCTTAATAATTGCCTTGTTTCTTTCCATGTACAAGGCTGGGCTGAAAAGTTCATAGATTGACTATGAAGGAGAGACGCTAAAGCTGTGAAATCTTATATGCCTTAATTTCCGCTCTTCTTAATAATTGCCTTGTTTCTTTCCATGTACAAGGCTGGGCTGAAAAGTTCATAGACTGACTATGAAGGAGAGACGCTAAAGCTGTGAAATCTTATATGCCTTAATTTCCGCTCTTCTTAATAATTGCCTTGTTTCTTTCCATGTACAAGGCTTGAAAAGTTCATAGACTGACTATGAAGGGAGAGACGCTAAAGCTGTGAAATCTTATATGCCTTAATTTCCGCTCTTCTTAATAATTGCCTTGTTTCTTTCCATGTACAAGGCTGGCTGAAAAGTTCATAGATTGACTATGAAGGAGAGACGCTAAAGCTGTGAAATCTTATATGCCTTAATTTCCGCTCTTCTTAATAATTGCCTTGTTTCTTTCCATGTACAAGGCTGGGCTGAAAAGTTCATAGACTGACTATGAAGGAGAGACGCTAAAGCTGTGAAATCTTATATGCCTTAATTTCCGCTCTTCTTAATAATTGCCTTGTTTCTTTCCATGTACAAGGCTGGGCTGAAAAGTTCATAGACTGACTATGAAGGAGAGATGCTAAAGCTGTGAAATCTTATATGCCTTAATTTCCGCTCTTCTTAATAATTGCCCTTGTTTCTTTTCCATGTACAAGGCTGGGCTGAAAAGTTCATAGACTGACTATGAAGGAGAGACGCTAAAGCTGTGAAATCTTATATGCCTTAATTTCCGCTCTTCTTAATAATTGCCTTGTTTCTTTCCATGTACAAGGCTGGGCTGAAAAGTTCATAGACTGACTATGAAAGGAGACGCTAAAGCTGTGAAATCTTATATGCCTTAATTTCCGCTCTTCTTAATAATTGCCTTGTTTCTTTCCATGTACAAGGCTATGAAAAGTTCATAGACTGACTATGAAGGAGAGACGCTAAAGCTGTGAAATCTTATATGCCTTAATTTCCGCTCTTCTTAATAATTGCCTTGTTTCTTTCCATGTACAAGGCTGGGCTGAAAAGTTCATAGATTGACTATGAAGGAGAGACGCTAAAGCTGTGAAATCTTATATGCCTTAATTTCCGCTCTTCTTAATAATTGCCTTGTTTCTTTCCATGTACAAGGCTGGGCTGAAAAGTTCATAGACTGACTATGAAGGAGAGACGCTAAAGCTGTGAAATCTTATATGCCTTAATTTCCGCTCTTCTTAATAATTGCCTTGTTTCTTTCCATGTACAAGGCTGGGCTGAAAAGTTCATAGACTGACTATGAAGGAGACGCTAAAAGCTGTGAAATCTTATATGCCTTAATTTCCCGCTCTTCTTAATAATTGCCTTGTTTCTTTCCATGTACAAGGCTGGGCTGAAAAGTTCATAGATTGACTATGAAGGAGAGACGCTAAAGCTGTGAAATCTTATATGCCTTAATTTCCGCTCTTCTTAATAATTGCCTTGTTTCTTTCCATGTACAAGGCTGGGCTGAAAAGTTCATAGACTGACTATGAAGGAGAGACGCTAAAGCTGTGAAATCTTTATATGCCTTAATTTCCGCTCTTCTTAATAATTGCCTTGTTTCTTTCCATGTACAAGGCTGGGCTGAAAAGTTCATAGATTGACTATGAAGGAGAGACGCTAAAGCTGTGAAATCTTATATGCCTTAATTTCCGCTCTTCTTAATAATTGCCTTGTTTCTTTCCATGTACAAGGCTGGGCTGAAAAGTTCATAGACTGACTATGAAGGAGAGACGCTAAAGCTGTGAAATCTTATATGCCTTAATTTCCGCTCTTCTTAATAATTGCCTTGTTTCTTTCCATGTACAAGGCTGGGCTGAAAAGTTCATAGATTGACTATGAAGGAGAGACGCTAAAGCTGTGAAATCTTATATGCCTTAATTTCCGCTCTTCTTAATAATTGCCTTGTTTCTTTCCATGTACAAGGCTGGGCTGAAAAAGTTCATAGATTGACTATGAAGGAGAGACGCTAAAGCTGTGAAATCTTATATGCCTTAATTTTCGCTCTTCTTAATAATTGCCTTGTTTCTTTCCATGTACAAGGCTGGGCTGAAAAGTTCATAGATTGACTATGAAGGAATGACGCTAGAGCTGTGAAATCTTATATGCCTAAATTGCAGCTCTTCTTATTATTAACTGCATTATTTATTTCCATGTACGACGCTGGACTGAAAAGTTCATAGACTGACTATGAAAGAGCGACGCTAGAGCTGTGAAATTTTATATGCCTTAATTTCAGCTCTTATTATTAACTGCATTGTTTCTCTCTGTGTATGAGGCTGGGCTGAAAAGTTCATAGACTTACTATGAAGGAGTGACGCTAGACCTGTGAAATGTTACATGCCTTAATTTCAGCCCTTATTATCAATAACCACATTTTTTCTTTCTATGTACGTTGCTGGGCTGAAAAGTTCATACAATCACTTTCGATTATGAGTCCGTAATCTTTCCGCAAACGTCTGACTTTTTTTTTTGGGGGGGGTTATAAATAATTTAATCTGCTTGAGCGTGCATCTGGCTTTCAAAGGCGCAGCGTTTGGGGTCTTGCTTGATTTTAAATTTCGAAAATATTTATGATTCATTTTGATTTATGGGAAAACAGATGCTTTTCTTTTTCATTCAAAAATCAATAAAAGTGTTGCCCTCCAAATGCCGCGCAGTGTATGTGGTGCCTAGCTGTAGGTTACTGTGCTTGGATTTGATTTTCGGAGTCAATGAACATCGAGGAATTCAGGTCACCCTTGTCCAGAGAAGAAAACAACGCAGAAATGTGGCAACCAGAAGACGAGAATTGAAAGATACAATAATGCCGCTGCTACATGAAGAAAATGGTTTCGGCTGGTATGTTTTATCTATTCTTCGCTGTTGCCATTGCTTCGAAAATTGTACCAAATTATTCCTTGAAATCTATTCAGAGAAGTATATTCTCTTTTTGTTCACTTTATGTAGTTTTATTTGCTGAGGACCTTTTTATGCTGCACTTGGAATTTTAATTGTGAAAAAGGCAAATTTCATTTTTCATTGATAATTTGTATACATGTTATTGGCCATCTTTTGACACACAAATGTAATTCAATTTTTGTGAGTTAAGAATAAAATTTTCTTATGTTCTTAAACTTGTGTCGTTTATGTTTCTGTAGACATGCTATTAACTTATTCTTTCCTCAAAGATCTGTTTGAACTATTTTTTCGCAGGGTGATTTTTACTCCCAAAGATCTGACAATAATCCAAATTACGGAATGAATATATACTCCTGCTAATCTTTTCTGAATTAATTCAGGAATTAAAGTAAATATCACTGAAATAATAGGCTTGAGCATAATGTAAATCCCATGTTAATCTTTCTGTTGTGGAAATGCATTCCAGTTTGTTTTTGTTTCGAATTTCCTTGCAAATAACATTACAATAGGTATGCGTTAAAAAGCCATTGGTATAGAATGCATTGCAAATATTCTTATTATCAATGCTTTGTAAATAATTCTTACAAGAAAACACGCATTTTATATATATTGTACACATTTTATATATATTGTACACATTTTATATATATTGTACACATTTTATATATATTGTATTGCAAATGATTTTACTATAAGAATGTATTGGAAATGATTTTACTACAGAAATGCATTAAAATTAATTTATTACAGAAATGCATTCAAGCAGATTAAATTATTTATAAAGCCCCCCCCTAAAAAAAGTCAGATGTTTGCGGAAAGATTACGGACTATAATCGAAAGCGATTGTATGAACTTTTCAGCCCAGCCTCATACATAGAGCGAAACAATGCAGTTATCAATAGGAAGAGATGAAATTTAAGGCATATAAGATTTCTCTACTCTAGCGTCACTTCTTCATAGTCAGTCTATGAACTTTTCAGTCCAGCCTCGTATATAGAGAGAAACAATGCAGTTATTAATAAGAAGAGCTGAAATTAAGGCATGGAAGATTTCACAGCTCTAACGTCACTCCTTCATAGTCAGTCTATGAACTTTTCAGCCCACCGTTGTATACTATGAAAGTACAATGGGTAAATTCTCGCCATTTATATTTTTAATTTCGCGCATGCGTGTTTTTTGTTTTTCTTTTGTCGGCTTCACAGTATAGTAGGGTCAGATTGACAACATCTGCGTTAAAACAAATACGATGAAATTCAGAATCTGCATTCTGTACTGCTTTGCAATCGTGTCGGAATTTCCAAAACGAACGTTTCAGAGTATTTGTATGCCAATCTGCGGAAAGTGCAGAGAATTCAGAACGAGTTGTAAGAGTCTAATGGTGATTACGGAAGTGTTTAGTGATATTAGTAGTGATGGTGACATTATGCCTCCATTCATCTTGGCACATGGCCTCAGTCTCAACACGGCGACCGACATCAAATCCCTTGAGAAGGCAATCTTGCCCTGGACCAAGAGGATTGCTGCTGGAAGACCCTAATCCTGGCAACATGACTCTGCAACATGCCACACAAGCAGGAGTATCCAATCATGGCTGTCAGACTATTTCTTCTTCTGCCTCACCCGTTATATCTGGCTACCTAACTCCCCAGATTGCAAGCCCGTTGATTATTATGTGTGAGACACAGTTGAGCGTGAGACCAACAAAACTACTTGTAACACCAAAGATGAGCTGAAGGCATGGCAGCTTTCATCAACTTAAAGAAGGAGAACATTCAGAAGATTTTCAGGAGATTCCAGTCTTCTGGAGGCCGTGGTTGGAGCCAATTTATTGAATAATGTTATTCTTCAGCATTTCAAGATAATTTTGTGCAATTTTGGTAAATATATCCTTTAAAAGGAGATATCAGTTTTATTTTCATTTTTGCGTAATTTAGACGACAATTTCTCTATTGCACCCTGTATATTCACATAGGAAATAACTCGCATATATAGTGTTCTGTACCATCCGCGTTTTACATATCCAGCCGCAGATAACTGGTGATGACGACCTGGAATTTATTAGAGTATGCACTTATGCTCAAACCTAGTTAAAGAATAAACGGCTATAAACAAACCTTGAGATTCAGTCATTTTTTTTTATTTATGTTTAGAAGCTAATCTATTTTCGCTTTCATTTGAAACCTCCGTGAGATTAATCAGCATGCAGAGACCCCTTGCCATCCGCTTCGATAAATAGATTTTCCAAACACCTTCACATTGCGACTTGATAAGAATGTCATTTTAAATAGCGTAACAAACATCTTGATCATTCGTTAGTATAAAACTCTAGACGCTGTTTGATTTTCTCCTATGAGAGATTCTCGGTGTTAAAAAAATCTTCGTTATTATAGTTACATGATTGCGCACGCATTTACGATGTGAGAGAATCTTGTTTTTTATTATACGTAAATTTATTCAAAATGGTGTCAGCATCTTTATTGATATAGCGACAACCTTTCATCTATGTTTAAGATATGAAATTATTATTATACGTAAATTTATTCAAAATGGTGTCACCATCTTGATTGATATAGGGAGAACATTTCATCTATGTCTAAAATGTGAAATTATTATTATACATAAATTTATTCAAAATGGTGTCACCATCTTTATTGATATAGCGACAACATTTCATCTATGTTTAAGATATGAAATTATTATTATACGTAAATTTATTCAAAATTGTATCACCATCTTGATTGATATAGGGAGAACATTTCATCTATGTCTAAAATGTGAAATTATTATTATACGTAAATTTATTCAAAATGGTGTCAACATCTTGGTGGATATAGCGACAACATTTCAACTATGTCTAAGATGTGAAATTATTATTATACGTAAATTTCTTCGAACTACAGTTTTCATCTTGATTGTTATAACAATTCAGTTCTATTCACAGTAATCCGCCTGCATACGGATAGAAAGTAAATTCAGTAAATATAAATAAATAGAAAGAGTTGTAAGGAAAATTTCTGTCTTCTTATCAGACTTATTTAAATTTTATAGTAGCGTGATTCTGAGAGAATTAGAATTACTACCTTGATTCCTTATGGGCGGTCAAAATCTTAGTTTCTATTCTTTCTTTTTATATATTCTGTCATTTCGGGACGTAGGCGATCATGGCTCTCCACTTCGCCCCCCCTCTATTTGTAGCTCTCAATAAGTTTCATCCCTTTGCAGAATTCACTCAGGCCATATTCTGTCGTTCAGTTGGTTAAGCCCACCAGGTATGTCATGCGTTCCTTTCCCTTGTCTCTCTTTCCCTTGTCTCTCTTTCCCTCTATTCGACCTTTATGTGCCGTGTCCCTTCAGGACGTAGGCGAGCATGGCTCTCCACTTCCTCCTATCTCTAGTAGCTCCCAATAAGTTTCGTCGCTCTGCCACCTCCTCTAGACCACGTTCTGTCATCCACTTGCTTAATCCCGCCAGGTATGTCATGCGTTGCTTTCTCTTGTCTCTCACCTTCCCTCTATTCGACCTGTGAGCATCAGATTCTCCAGGATCTCGCTTCTCATTATGTTTCTCAGAATCTTCAGATGCCTCTTCCTGATGTTAAGTATAATCCTCCTCCTTGTTTGAATCCACTCTAAGACCTCATCGTTGCTCACAGCCTCGGTCTATGATATGTTTGACATTCATCTCCGTTGCCTCGAGTCTCTTCTTTATCTTTGAGGAAATTTGTCCAATATTCGCTGCCATAAAGAAGGACAGATGTCACGTAACAGCTTAGTATTCTTTTCCAAATAAATCCTCCTGATCCGGAATACTCTGCCCATCTTTTGGATTGTGTCCTTGGCCATCCCAATACGTCTACGGATCTCAGTTTCGCACATACTGTCCTCTTTCAAAACATTTCCCAGATATTTAACCTTCCTGCTTCATTTTAGTGCCACAGACGTGCAAATCGCATTTTGGCTCATCCTTTTACTGATGACCATTAGCAGCATTACGTATAGAATTGACACAGTTTTGATATCAGACACCGAAAAAAAACACAGAAATTCCTACAGAAACTTGTAAAGGAGAACGAAAAGAAATGACTAAACATCAATTGAAAAAGACTAAATATATGATCGTTCGTGTAGTGAGAGAATACACTTACCACGCCGGGCAAAGCCGACATGTACCTTTTTGGCGTGTAAATTCAATATGGCCGACATCGCGAGGGAACGACGATGTCAAGCGTGGTTGCGAGGAGCGGCCATTTGCAATCGTCCCACTACGCATGCGTGACGCTACTTTTTGAATAGGATCGAGGCATTTGTAAGTGTGACTGTTGAACGGTGCCAGATGATTTCTAGCGGTTTTATATGCATTGGATTTTTTTTAAATTGTACCTATATTTTCTTTCGGGATTTTGGGATTTGTTTGTTTTGTTTTAAACTTAAGCTATCATCACTGTGAAATATCACTGTGAAAAAATGATGCATTCCAACAAGTGACTTCGTCTTAATTTTTTCATCTGAAGTAAATTCTTTTCAAGAAAATGTAACTTTTTTTACACACACGAACACAGAGAAAAAAAAAACAACTTTTGTTACATTGGTTAGAAAAAAATTTCCAATTCAATTATAAATTATTATTTACATAATTTACTCTCAGACTATTGTCTTCATCTTTGTTGATATTATCATAATAGACTGTTGGTGTGTGAATTTTGTGACATAGTAATTTTGAGTTCAATCCCTAGGCTGTCTAGTAAAGACATAGGCTCTCTGGAAACAAGGTGAGCAATGAATGAACAGTAATAAACTTGATATCTCAAAACATGAACAGCATGAGAATGAGAAAACAAATGATGTTGATTCACGTAAGTTCACCTTAAAAACGTTTTGTTGGCTTTTAAATTTCTTCCGAGGCTTGAAAAAACTGTACATCAGTTGACTAATTATACAGCTACTTTGCATATCTTTGAATATTTTTATGGGATAGCGATACATTTTGAATACTCAAGATTCTATATCGTCCACCAAAATTTACAGTCATCTAGCATTCAGCGGCTCATCGCCTACCCACCAGGTTGGGAAACCCTTTCTTTATACTTATTTGACTAGTACTCAAATATGGGCTCGTTATCTGGAGGCCAAAGTATAAAAAATACCTTTCTGTGACACAGAATTATTATACACTGGTCAATTCAGACCAGAAACTTCATTTTGTTTCTTAAAGTCAAGCATTTCGCCTTTTTAGGTGCTTATGAATTATCATTACGGTACCCTGATTAATTCTGACTTGTCTTCTCGTCTTTTTTTTTTAGTCACACGTTTACCGCCGTTATATTCTCTATTATTTGTCGGTCGCCTGTCATAAATGTCCACCTTCTTCTAATTTCGAACCTAACAATTGATTTAAACTACGAATGTGATTTTTTTCTCATTCCTCTTTCCACGAGAGATAACACGTATTAGTTAAGTTTTCTTCTTCATTAGTCACGCCTTGACATATTGCTGCTATCTATTCAACTGAAGCAGGCGATATTCACTGTCTGATTGAAGGAAGATCATTGCCGCCATGTTATTGAATAATTTAAACCCATACTTACATCAATTACAATTGTTAGATTTGAAAACACGGGACATGTTCTTAAATAGCCTCGTCAGCTTGAGACTTTCATATGAATTTTCTTCATGGTGCGAAACCCATTCAGAAATATCTAAACTGTTAGTTGTATATAACGATTTTCTCAAATCAATGATTAAACATATCTTTGAAGCTTGTACGCCTTAGTGAGGAACGTGTGAACTACAGAACCATAAAAAAACTGTACAAACAGCATCACTTGATGACTTCCAACATTAGCAAGAGCTAAAATGAATAGCGTATATAATTCGAAGAAAAAATAATGGCATAATCAAGATGTTGAGCTTCCACACAACTTCAAATAAAAGGTGAGGAAGAAAAGCTCTATCATTAATGCAAAAAGATATAACAGCTACTGGACTAGAGAAATCAGTATCTGTCTATATTTCTGAGATGAGGTATTATGTACATAATTTACATTATTCAGATTATTGTCCTCATCTTTGTCGCCATATTCATCATAACGTTTCGGCCGTTGTACGCTCCGACCTTTATCAGTTGGTTGGAATGTCGAACTGAACACTTTATTTCTCTCACTGGGGTAGACTGTTCTAGTTCCATGTGCTATGTTTTATTGGATGTCAGTTATCTGTTATCTCCTGTTAATTTCCCTCTGAATGTTCTCCACTGCCTTAACCGGGTATTGAACTCACACTCTTTGGGTCTTGTCACTGGATCTAATCCACGCCTTTATCCACTGTGCCATGTGTCCTTGAGGATACATGGTACAGTGGAACCAGAACAGTCTCCCCCAGTGAGCGAAATAAAGGGTTAAGTTCAACATTCCAACCAGCTGAAGAATGCCGGAGCGTACAACGGCCGAAACGTTGTAATAAATATGGCGACAAAGATGAGGACAATAGTCCGAATAATGTAAATAATGTAAAGAAATCTTTTTTTCTGAAAAAATAATTTCAAGAAAAATATTTTATAAATTTCAATCGACAATTGTATCGGCTGCTCTATCAATGTATACCGAATGTTTCCTTATAGGGAAAAAGCTTATATTACCATTATCATTGTCGGAGAAGATTATAATTTAAAGTCTCCAAAATTCCACCAGCTGGTGGTCATTCGCAGTTTTCAAATAATTACAACTGGAATATTTGGAAGAATAGACTTGAAGCTAGAGAAATCTGGCTCTACAGAAAGATGCTGAGGATAACATAGATCGAACATGTGAGGAACGACGAGGTTTTGGATAAAAATAGAAACAAAAAGGAAACTTATAGTTAACATAAGGAAGAGGCAGATGAAAATTCTGGGACACGTAATGAGGAAGGAGTGTTTGGAAAACCTGATGCCCACAGGACAGATTGAGGGAGAAAGGGACAAAGGAAAATAGTACTTAACATGAGCTTGAGTAAATGGATTGCGGAACTGGGTTTGGGAGAAATGACGAAAGGACAAAACTTAGTAAGTGTTACAAGGAACAGGAAGATGTGGAGGGCCATGATTGCCTACGCCCTGAAGGGACACGACATATAGAAGAAGATTTTCCATAAGGAGTTTAAAGTTGACGCTTAAGAGTAACAATGACCTGTTCAACAACACTTCGTTTGCCGTCTCCTTCCTAAACAATATTTTGTTAAGAAGCTTATACATATTTTCCCCTCGCTAAATCACACAGATTTACTGAGCGGATGGCTGCTTAAGCACTCTCGCTCTCTACTCTCTTACTCACTCTCCCACTATACCTCTCACTCTACCCCTCACTCACTCTCTATATATATATACCACTCTCTCCCCCACTATCCCTATCACTCTCTCTCTCCCACTACCCCTCTCACTCTATCTCTCTATCCCTTCTCCTCTCCTACTATTCCTCTCTCTCTCTATGTCTCTCCCACTATCCCTCTCTCTCCCACTATCCCTGTCTCTCACTCTATCTCTCTATCCCTTCTCCTTTCCCACTATTCCTCTCTCTCTATCTCTCTCCCACTATCTCTCTCTCTCACTCTCTATCTCTCTATCCCTTCTCCTCTCCCACTATTTCTCTCTCTCTATCTCTCTCCCACATCCCTCTCTCTCACTCTCTATCTCTCTCACTCTCTATCTCTCTATCTTTTCTCCTCTCTCTCTATCTCTCTCCCACATCCCTCTCTCTCACTCTCTATCTCTCACTCTCTATCTCTCTGTCCCTTCTCCTCTCCCACTATTCCTCTTTCTCTATCTCTTTCTCCCATTATCCCTCGCTCTCTCACTTTATCTCTTTATCCCTTCTTTTCTCCTACTATCCTTCTCTCTCCCACTATCTTGTCTCTCTCTCTCTCTCTCCCACTACCCCTCTTTCTCTGTCTCTCTTTCTCTCATATAATTCTTCCAACCTGCTAACAATATTATCTGAAATAATTTCCACAAGACATTAAGTATTTACGGAAATAATTCTGCGAAAGGATTCCCTATCGAAGACAAGTGAACACATCACCAGAACATGATTTGATCTCGAAACCGTTTTCGCCCACGTTCTTGTAACTTTGGAAGCAGCAAGATGATTGAAAATAATGAAGCCTCCCTTCTTTGTCTCACTGTGTCTGTTTCTCTCTTCGTGCAACGACCGATAAAAATGAAAGTCTACTATGCAATATAATATCAAATAACAAATATTCATTACATGATTATCCATTCTCAATTTGTACATCTTTTGTTTTATATCTTTATTTTTGCTTAATTTTCTCAGTTTTGCATATTCACTTGAGCGTACCTTTTGAGTGTAAAGTGCTTTTCGTCAAACTTCTAACATTCATAGTTGATTTTAGCTTGATCTCTTCTTAAATATCAGAAAGCCAAAGGTAAGAAAATGCTGGAGAATTTGAGAGGAAGATATGGAAAATTTTCATTTATGTTTCTGTCACGGTTCATATGTATAATGTTTTGGGTTTTTTTTTTCTGCACATCTATCTTTCGATTTATCGATCTATTTATCTATCTCAGCCTGTTTCTATCCATCTATCTCATTCTCTTCATTATCTATCTCAAGTCATATCGATGCCTCATTCCCTTTTCTATCTATCTATCTATCTATCTACACCTTTCAGCATATTAATTGACACAAAACGAATAATTCCGTTAATATTTACTTTTTTTCGCATTTTTCCAATGGAACATGACCCAGTGCACATATTAGTACTTCGTATGACCATTCCGCAAAGTCCGTCGTTGCAGATTGAACACAGATTCGAGATTGGATTTAAATCAAGAGAGTTTCCGGGCCCGTCTATACTATTTTGACTTGCTCATTGGTAAAGCTAGCCAGTGTGTTCATGCAGCATTACAATTTTCTTACGCTTCCTTGGAGTAACGTCCATCGCAGACAATGACCGTAAGACAACTAATCGACAGTCAAGACAATAGTGTCTGGGCGTGATATAAATCTGATGTAATCCCAGATGACGAAATATTTTTCAAGGCCAAACAAATTTCATCATACATCCCGAAAAAAGATTCATATTACTGAACACCATTGCAAATGCCCCAATCTGAAGAAAAAAATAAAAATCGATTACACCCTGCTATCTCAGTGTGTCTAAAACTGACCGTATGGTGAAAGAAAGGAAACTAAAGCGGCTGTTTTAATTAATTTGTCGCTGTATCTGTTGGTTGGTTAATATCTACATTTCGCACAGATATTACTTAGATATCGCAGT